TTTTAAATTTTTTTTTATTTTATGTTAATCAGGATACCGTCTGAAAAGAAGATTTCTGAAACTACGGAAATTCCGTAGCAGTTGGAGGGTATATATATATATATATATATATCGTGAGAGAGTAATATCGAGTAGCTTAGTAGATGATTCAAAAATAGAAATCTTACTTTTGAAAGCCCAAGTTTTCATGTGCCTCAATCCATTTAAGTATTCAAATAAACTGTTAGTACAATTATGAGATATATTAGAAGTGAGAGACCAGTCGAATGAATTCGTTATTACACTTTTAATCAGTTTGAAGTATGCTTTCTTTAATGTAGCCTCCGTATTCATCCACGCCAATATGATGTTGTCTTGAGTGATTCCGGAAACCATCTTTGCATGCTGTGGAATCGTGAGAGGTTTAAAAGCTAGGTTTCTTAATCCATTTGTCTGGTGGAGGAGCAAAACCACAAGAATCAGCTTGATGGGGATGAATATTGCTGGCATTGTTTCATTTGGGTGTTTTGATATCCTGCATAATGATTAAAATACAAATTAGTCATTTTAAAACCAGTAATAAAGGTGATACTGTTCATTTTACAATACTGAAGGAAATAAATTATACTGGGGAACAAATGTTTTGTTGTATTTATACAAAAACTAGATCTTGCCTAATTTGAGTGTCAAGATTTCAAATTCGAAATTATTTACTACTTAACTACGTTTTTTTTTCTAAAAAATAACTTTTTTTGGCTAAATTTACAAGTTTGAAAATGTTATTTATACTGTAACTTAGTATACTGTAACTTGGAGAGAAAAATTGTGAAAATCAACTTTTTTCAATGACGATGCCTTATAGTATTTCACTTTAATATAAATGAAGATATTTTATTTTAAAATTTGCAATTTTTTGGAAAACCTTTTTTCATTTTAGAGAAATAGAAACTTTTGGACAATGGTGGCATGAGAGTAGCTCAGAATGCGTATTAAAAAAAGTATATTATTTTTCTTAAAAGGCGCATTTAAGATGATGAACATAGCTCAAAATGCATATTTAAGACAATAAGTGAAAAGTAGCTCGAAATACAAATTTATACAAACTTAAGAAATTGATGATAACATTTTAGTCAGTTGTTGCATATTATTCTTATGAGTATTTTTTGTTACATTTTTCAGAAGAGTTAACTGATTTATATATTTGCAATATATCATAATAAATAAAATATATAATAATAAAAAAAATTTAATAAAGGATTTAAACATTGCAAATAAATTTGAAATACTTAAAACCTTTATTAAATTTATTGTTTCATTCCAGTAATTTTGCATTAATACTTTTAGAAATTTCTTTTTCAAATGCCACTTTAAAGTTTATAGGTCTGAGAGGAAAGTATTTTCATACTTATAAATTTCCTTCAAAAATTAATGCGTAACGGTGTCAAAAATACATAAAAATAACGTCTGTTTTATTTTCTTCACTATTTTTTTTTTTAAATTTGTAAGATCCATTTAAAACCTGTTTTCAATTTTTTTTTACAGTGAACGAAGTTTTCATAAAATTCGTGTCTCTGAGCTGGTAAAATTTTTTTCAATCCGCAAAATCAAAAGGAATAAAGAAATAAATTTTCACGACGCTGAATAGCAGTGAATTTAGTATGTTACCATTTTCTTAAGTACTCTATTCTTAAGCACACATTTTGAACAATGCCTATTTTCTTAACAAACTCATTTCATAATTCTAAATATATAGCTTGTTTAATTTATTTCCAAGTCGGTTTCATTAACTAACATTAATTTGCAAGATTTCTAAGATTTTTTTTATAATTCCAACTGCTCTTCAATATTGCATTTTTTACGAAGATATCAAAACACGCTTCCTTTTAGCTAACAGAAAAGATATGATCAAACTGAACGACACAAGTTCTGTTTAAAAGTTAGATAAAACAATGAAAATCAGAATAACTCACAGTGAGGGATAAGGAGTGGATTTATTTTTCACCCTGAGTTATGTGTATAGTCATTAGATTTGAGCGGGCAGATGGCTTTATGATTTTAGAGAGAGAAGAGTTCTCAGAGTTTTGTCTGTTAATTCGATTGTCCATGTATCTTTGTATCTGTGTCTTCCTTATTAAATGTGTTTGTGATAATTTGGTACATTGTTTTCCTTTTTTTTTGGGCCTGCTGTGAAAACATCGGATGGATGTTTACCCATTAAGATAAATTTGGAACTGGTCGCACGCAACACAGTTTTAGTGGCGCCCAACGAGGGGCCCGACATAGAACTTTTTTATAAGGATAACAAACATGGAATTACCTCAATAAAAAGTTCTTCGAAAGAGTTTGCGCACTTCCTTCACAATTTGTGCAAACACTGAATAAGGAGACACAATGAACTGAATATGGGACGATGAACTGAATAAGGAGACACAAGATATGAAAGCCATCTCAGTTTTAGAAATGCAGCTGAAAGACAAATTTTCTCGTGTGGAAGAAAGACAAATTATCATTATCCAGGCCCTGTTGTAGTCAAATGAAGAAGAGTACGAAGAAGATTTTAACGCCGCAGAAGCCTATAGAGATGATTCTTAGAACTATGCTCTCGACCTGAAGAAACCTTATTTAAGATTCCTCTGCCAACGGATATACCCCAAAAAAGAACATTTAAATTGACCGTAATTGAACTTAAGAAATTTAGTGGTAAAGCGAAAGACTCATTGATATTTTGGTCTCTATTTTCAAAAATTCACGAAGATAAAACGTTATCCGACGATGATAAATTTTACTATCTAATACAATCTGTAATACCCAATTCAAGAGCTGCTGAAGTTATCGAATCTTGTCCCGCAACTGCTGCAAATTATCCGAAAGCAATTGAACAGTTGAAAAATAGATTTGGGAGAGAAGAATTACTCGTACAGGTTAATGTGAGAGACCTACTGTCACTAGTGACGAAAATCGACGCCGCTGGAAGGATTAAAACAGACCTCCACTTCCTTTACTATGAAACCGAAGGAAAGCTGAGAGCCCTCGAAAGCTTAGGTAGAATGCAGGAAAAATATGGTGATTTTTTGACCCCTCTTATCGAATCTTGTTAACCCGAAGATCTTCTTATTGCTTACGAACATAGTTGGAACATTAGAGACCCTCAAGGTGGTGAAAGAAATTTGAAACATTTAATGAATTTTCTGAAACAAAATGTTGTTAGTGAAGGGATGATAATCCTAGCAAAAGCGGAGTTTTCTTCTTATTATAACCATCGGGACAAAACTTACGCGTGTGAAAAGTTAAACGTTTCGGATAATGCAACTGCTTCCAGCTTAGTAAGTAGCAGTTATCCGGAAAAAGAAGGTAAGAAATTTTGAAATTGCATTTTTTGTGAAAAGTAGCACTCCTCTAGAATATGTTTCAGTGCTAGAAATACGAGTATGAAAAATAAAAGAAAAATTATAATTAGAAAAGGGGCATGCTTCTCATGTTTTCGTTTGGGACACATTTCTAGATTTTGTGAAGTAAAAAATTTATGCATGAAATGTAACAAAAATCATCATACTTTAATGTGTTTTAATAATTCTAATGAATGTGATAAAGAGAAAATGAAATTGTTAAATCTTATACATTAGGTAATACTAATTGTAAAAATGTAAATATTTTTTTTTGATGACAGTAATTGTTAAGATAAAATTTAAAAATAAGGAATTAATAACTCGATCTTTGATTGATTCAGCTTTTCAGCATTCCAATGTCAGTGATAGCATTGCTAAACAATTAGATTTAAAAGCGAAACAAAAGATAAAAATGAGTCATGGGTTATTTGGGGGGGAGAAAAACGGAGACGCATTATGTTCATGATTTGAGAATATGTGATTTAGAAGAGAAGTACTAATTTCAATTAGAAGCGTTTTCTGAAGAAAAGATTTGTTTGCCTAAAATGAATGGTACCTCATTAATTGGGGAATTAAAAAATTGAGAGATAGTAAACAGGGTGCGTAGCCAAATCTTTGAATCAAAAATAAGCACTTTTTAAAAACTTTTCAAGCACTTTACAAAAATTTTCAAGCACTCAAAAAATTCATATTGAATCAATGATATTATTGAAAAACACTAACTTTTTATGAACAGTTTTAGCATTTAAAAAAAAAACTCAAAAAGAAACGGACGTAAATCGAAACAATCAGTACTTTCCCACATCACCGAGTGAATTCAACTTGACTCTGAACAAAAGTACCCTTACCCCCTACATCAAAAAAGTGTAAGAAGTAAAATAAAATAAAAAAGAATAAAATTATAAATAAAAAAGAAAAACATTTAATAAGAATCTGACTCTATCCGAATTGGAGCACTCGAGTTTCAATTTCGAGTGTGCGCGCATGCGCAAGTCATAACGTGGGTACAACTTGAAGTCCGTGTGAATGATTACATAGCAAACACCCCATTTTTTGTGAAATGCAGGGGATCCGCCAGATATCACTGAAGGAGAAAAAATATATATTCCTGAAAAAAAAGCACTTTTTAAAAACGCCAGATGAAAAAAGCACCTTTAAAAGCTTTTAAAAACGAATTCTCTCGAAAAGCACCTTTAAGTACTTTTTACAAACGCTACGCACCCTGTTTTATCAGATAATAAATTTTGCATTAGTGAGATCGGTGTGCTATTCGGAGCAAATATCGTTGGCGCCTTGTTAACTCATACACCAGTCGAATTGAAAACTAATTTGAAACGCCTTTTGGATATCTTGTGAGATGGCAATATAAGTCAGCGAATATTAATGAAAATGATACTGTTTTGAATTGAATTTCTTTGCACGTGAAAGGCTCTTTAATTAGTAATTTATGGCCATACAGAATGAGAAAAAAAGTTTAAAATATTCTAGGGTCTTGGAAGAGTTTAAAAAAGATTTCCTATCTTCTTGATAATGTAGGACCGGAATATGAGTGCTTAGCCCAAAAATAACGGCAGTCTTTTTGCGTTGAAAATTGTGTGGCTGGTGTTCATTCTGAAGAGGAATTGAAGAATTTTGTACAAGATGCTAAAAATAATTTTGCGAAAATATGTTTCAATTTAAGGAATTGGGAGAGTATTGTTGATTACGAATCGATTTCCAAAAGCACAGGCGCTAGCACAGGTCTTAGGTATTTTGTGGGATCTGGACAAAGATACACTATGATGTAATATTAATTTGGATACCGAAAATAAGAAAGCATATACGAAACGATATATCTTAGCAACTGTTCAGAAAAATTTTGATCCTTTTGGCCTAATAAGTCCTGAAACTTTACCTCCCAAACTTTTATTGCAGGAAACGTGGAATTTGAGGGAGATTTCAGTATCGTGATCTGTGGCAGAATTATCGCCAAGTCTAGGAAACTTCCGGGCAATGGCCCGCGAGAAACTGCAGGAAGTTACTAATATTATATCTAAGTTAGATTTGAATTTTGAGATTGAACATTTCTTACCTCCCATCAACCCCATCGTTGACAGGGGATTTTCTATCCGCCTTGATCTGATTAAGGATGTCTCAAAGGCGGAGACTAGTGATCTAGTTTTAAGAGCTCTCACTTTCGAAACAATGACGAATTCTTCGACCCCGAGGAAGAATGGTTGAGAATATATACTGACGGTTCTAAAATGAGTGATTGTGTTAACGCTGGTGCCGGTGTTTACTGTGAACTTTTCTGCCTGTATACTCCCATCGGCATTTATAGATCAGCTTTCGATGGCCATTGCGGCCATTTACCAGGCCCTCTCATAACTTCAACAGCGTTTAGACTCTTTCTCAAAAGTTGTAATATTATCTGACTCAAAGGCTGCACTTCAAGCAAATTGTTGCTCCAAGCCGCTCTCCAACTTTAACCATCGATAATTGCTCAAATCTCCTCAAATGGTTTGCCAGTAATAACAAGATAGTGCCTCTCCAGTGGATTCCGGCCCACTCTGGAATCCAGGGAAACGAGGAGGCCGATCTCCTGGCAAAAAAGGGTTCCCCTGTCCTACAGAGATCTAATTCCAGACTCCCTTTCTATAATATCAAAAGTCTCATAAAGAACATCTTTAGGGCCTCTTTTCACGAGGAACTCGAAAATCATAATTCCAATAAACCATGGCTTAAACAGATTCTCAAAGTCTCTCAGTGGCCTAGGATGAAATCTGTCGCCATGTTTCGTCTGATAACTGGCCACGATTGCCTAAAAAAACATCTATGTCTCATCAACGTGGTTCATGATCCTTTTTGTGCATTGTGTGACCTCCACGAGGTAATGGACTTGTCTCACCTGTGTCTAGGTGCCCTGCTCTTCGCTCTTATTTATAGATTTATTGTTATCTCTTTGATGTTCAATTGTCTTTTAATGTGCAATTGGAAATAATATATATATATAGATAGATAGATATATGATATAAGAAGAGAGTGGAATGATAACACATAGCCAATCACAGAAGACTTCTGGCTAGTACCTCACAAAACAGCCAATCAAAATTGAGAACACATGTGTGTGAAAAGGTAATAATTTTAAATAATGCTGCCAGCAGAATGGTTACAATTAAACTTACCAGCTAAAGTTTGTTGCAATTTCTATTCGCAATCGCAATGCTCGAGTACGCCCTCTAGCGGGAGCCTGTAAATATCAGACATTAATTTATCACGTTTTCATTTAGTTCCATCAAATTCATTGGCAGAATCAGACGCCATTTTCTTAGCAGCAAATAAAAATAAAAATTTCCCTAAGGAAAAGCCGAAGAACTTGAAAACCTCTCCAGAATATTGGGATATCTTTTAAACCCAGAACACGCCGAACATTTGAAGAAAAATTTCTCAATAATTTTTAACTTATATTATCAACAAACTTGCAACTCATAACTTCCGATTTTGCTATCGCATACTGTTACAGATGTGTGTATTGAGGTAAAATGCATTTCATATGTCTTCAATTCATTACGAATTAAAGTGAAGTCAACATTGCTTTCGTCATTCCAGTGAATAAATATGTATTCAGAACATACAGAATTGTAATAGATGTAGAATATTCTTCTTCGTTATAGAATAGTATATATTTCTGAATCCATATAATTCGGAAAACAACAATAAAAAATTATCCAAGTTACTTGAAATAGTGCCATTTGTGCTGATTCTTAATTAATTTTGATCGTTTTCTAGGTAAGTATGTTTTAGTTTTAAAAGAATAAGTTCAACTAGAATTCAATTATTCTGTTTTTAGCTACATATTTAAATTCATATCAAGATCTTACAATTATAAAGTTTTGCTGTGTAGTATGTTATCTAAAAGTAATGAAGGGATAAACTATGTAGGGGAGAGTCGGGTAGCCCCGCCCACTGTCAATTTCATATGTATAGAATATTTTTTCAAGTCAATGGGCCATCGGACATTAATTGTTATATTAAAAAAAGATTATTTTCAAAGTTTCAAGTATTTATGCAGCTGTTAACATGGTAAACAATAGTTTTGAAAATATGTTGAATACAGTAGTCATGAAATTAAGAAAAATTGGTTGAATGTTTCGATTAAACTTCATTTTAATACTAAAAAAATAATTTTTTCTATACATACAGCATTAAAGTATGTAGTCTTAAGTTTAATTTGCACAAAGAAAGAAGTTTATATGTGAAAAATTGTTCGAGTAATTACAAATTTACAAAAAAATTGGATTTCGGGTAGCCCCGCTCACATGAATGTCGGGTATCACCGCCCAATTTTATTTCGTCGATAAATGTACGGTTGCAAAGATTATTATTTTATTGCTTCAAATTTGAATGTTATATGCATTTTTAACAACAAATATTATTGTTATTAAATGATAGAATTCACTAAAAGTATATAAATATGTAATAAATAAAATAATTTTGCGATAAAAATGATAAATGAGGTTTATTTATAGTCAATAAATTGGTCATTCTCATTTACACCTGAAAAAATTGCCAAAAAACAAACTTTTTGTAACTGGGCGGGGCTACCCGACACATTATGAAAAGAGCTGAAAAACATGTTTTTTTAAATTTCTAATTTTTTAAGTTTAACTATTCTTTTTTGGTTTATTCTTTTTGCATTATTTAAATGGATGATAAAACAATAGAAACATACAAAAATGTTGATTATTACTCAGTATTATATAGAAATATAAGCAATACTCCTTAAGTCCCGACTCTCCCCTATCTATTATTTGAGAATAAAGTTTTCAAACAAAGAACCTATCATTTTGGAATTCTCCGGGAATTATAAATCGGGTAAGTGCAATGATTTTTACAATAAAAAATTCGCTTGTAAATATTTTTTTTTCATTTGATGATAGTTCTCAACAGAATACTTTTTTACGTCTGATTAAGAACTATAAGAATAAAAAGAGAAACAATATGGAAGTTTTTTATTTCAATATGAGGAATTTTTAAAATCGTTTTTTTATCCTAATAATTCTTTATTTTACGTTTCTTAGTTTATAATTTTTTGATAAAAATTGTTAAAATAATCGTTTTGAAAAATTAAATGGTATAACATTATGTGTTAATGTATACTTCTTGCATATTCTAAAGCTTGAAGTAATATGATTCAAAAAAGTATGGAATAAAAATACAGTACTTACGTAATAACGCTACCGCAACTCAGGGCTAAAGAAAATAGAAGGGCTAGTTCACTCCGCTCTTAGAGCTGAAGCTACGATTTCCCTCCTCATGACGTCCTGTGTCCACAGATCTCGGAGATCGCAACCAAAGATATGATAGCTTTGCATCTTTCTCTTTGTAAAAATAAGTTAGACTTTTTCTGGTTATTAGCCTTCAAACTTTACGTAATTAACACATTATTTCCGTTCATAAACATAGTTCAAAAAAAACTTTCTTGTTATAAAAATATTCCCTCATTGTTATTTGGCGCTGATGTTTAGACTTTATATCAGCCCAATGTTTTGAGTGAAAGAAGTGGTCAAAACCTGACCCCCTACAGTTTCCCCAGATTTTTATGCAAAGTCAACTCACAAAAGGGGTTAGATTAGCTTTTTACACTATTTCACCAAACGAGTGAAATTTTTACATACATTGCAAAATGACAGAAAATTTTCTGAATTTTTTTTTCTGGTCAACTTATGAGGGGGTTTTAGAATGGAGTTTTATAATACTCCTAGACAAAATTGACTTATTTCAGTGGTCAACATACAACATAGACAGGTGGTAAAGCTACAAAGGTTTTGCTTCTTTATATT